ATCTGCAGCGACTGCCTCATCGCCGTCCTGTGGGACTTCTTTCAACATTTTTTTTACACGTTCAATCTCACCTCGCAAAAATCGCTACAATATGTGTTGGAGGAGCGGCCCGTTTGCGCGACGTATGAAACAAAGAACTTATGTTATTATTTTGATTTCATCAATCATGAAAACTCAAATAAAAAACTCAAATAAATCGGCCATGACATAAAACGCAAACAGAAAACTATTGTATGGAAACGATGTCTCGAACGCCTGACCTAACGGAAAAAAATAAAGAAAAAGACTTCGATTGACACAGCTAAGTACGAAGCCTACGGCTCAGACTGATACAGCTCAATGGACCTGGCCACCGCAGCTTTTGATCTCTTCGAATTAAATTATAGGATAGGATAGTGAATCGTGTAGGGAATTAAATTAGAAGCGTTTGTCCCGAAGTGAAAAGGTAAAATAATGCATGCCTTCCAACCCGGTGGAGACGGAGAGGAAAAACGCGGATTGACTCACTGAGCATGCACTGAGCACGCACAGTTGCTGAGAACGGGTGAAAACCTGGTCCCAGTCGCAAGAATGGAGGAATAATTGCCAGAGAAACGCCGAAGAAAGTTGAGAAAGTTCCGAAATAAAATCCTGCCGTGCGGACCCCTGCCGCCGGGAAATCCTGCGAAACGCTCCGTTTTATTTATGGAGAATCCCATTCTAATAAGTTATTCTCCCGCCGGACGACCCTGTCCGGATCATGTAGCGCACGTGAGCGTAACGATCGCCTATCGCCGGGTCGGGTAGCACGGGTTGTTTGTGGCCGTTGACCGGGCAACGAGTCGATCGACGGGCGGGAGCCTCCACGACCGGGGAAGGGAGGGAACGGTCGCTGTGGGGAATCGAGCGTGTGGATCCTATCTGGTGTGTCGGTGGTGGTCGCATGAGAAAGGTGAGGCGTTTAGTCGCTCCATTTTTTTTATATATTTCATTTAGGTTGGTCTTTTGGTGCATGGTTGCTTTCCTTTCGCTGCGAGCCCGTAGGGTAATGATGATTGCTCATTTTAGAAGTCAGATTTAATTGGTTTGTATGGAATTAGTGGAAGGAAATTTTGCTCTTAACAAACATATTGAATTCGGTTTCTGCTTAAGATAAGTGGTTGCGACATATTAAAATTTTCTGATTTCTGTATTACGAGCAAAGGCCGCTTCATTTTGAGCTTAGGGCAAGCTTTCGTATCTGCTAGGTGGAGAAGCGAGAATGGAGAGAAAGAAACACAGCATCACGGATGAACAGGTCTCCCATGTGGCATCTATGGCATCGATGCCATATTCTGGGCCATCTATGACATATTCCGGGCCATCTATGGCATCTCCTGTGGTTCCTTTTGAGGCATCTTATTTCGCGTCTGAGATGGTGAGTTTGATCACGATTTGGCGCGATCGTGCCGTTGCTTGCTTTTTATTTATATCAGGATGAAGATACAGGTCACTAAATGTATTTCATTATGTTTCTATATCATTAATTTAACCAATGGACCTTTGCATGAAAAACTACATGTTATAGAAATTGACAGCTTTGGGTTGAGACATCCAGCACACGAGTAAAGTTTGCCTTTTTCCACACGTGCACCGCGCATTAATCATCTAATCTATGTAGACGATCGTGACTGACTGACGCTAATTCTAACCATGTTCTAGAAGGGTTAGAAATCTGAATCTTGGTACACATGTACCTTTTGGGATGTAGAGGTCAGAAAAAATCCGACTTTGGAGGTACATTCCCTGGGGGTACACAATTTTGGGGGGGAAAGGTATTGCTTAAATATATTTCGTGACAGATGAGGATGGCATTTAGAGTGTCAACTGGCTGTGCTGGGTTCGTTGGTGTAGTAGTAGCTTATCTGACTGGCAATCAAAAGGTCCGGGTTCAATTCCCGGCCATTCCTAGGCTTTCTGTTGGCTTTTCTTTGCTTTCCATGTCCCGTTACTCATTCCCCCTCTATCACATTATTTTTGCTTCAGTAAAACGGAGTGGCATGGAAAGCTGAAACTTTGCATGAATGTGACAACTGGGACAAGGAGTTAAATAAAAATGTTATGTCTCGATACATCCCCTGGGGGAATTTTTTCGAGGTGCGATGTTTGGAGAAGAAAAATTGTCCTGGCGAATTGGACAGAAATGGAAAGGTGAAATTTGACATACGTTTAAGTGACATATTACTGAGCTGAGGGAGTATTCAGCTTTGATGGCGTATCCCCTCCTGGCATAGCTTTTGGGTGGGTCGGTTATTCCAAACATGCTTTTTAGACCAGCGAAAAGGGCAAATGTATAATATTGAAACTTTGTGGGCAAGTAGTTCACTGAGGATGTATTTCGTTAAAAAAAAGAACATACTTTTCGGTTAAAACGGCGCAGTACACATATTATGCAAAAGGCATATTTTCCCGAATTTTCTGATCAGGATAACATAGGGCGCTGGAAAGTTTAACCTTCGCAAAGAAGTACATGATGGAAAGCTGAGTAAAGAAAAAATATACTTTTATTATACATGGACGATCGTGAGGAGCTGACTGACATAAGTAGCTATTCGCATGCTGAGTCCAGGAAAGATTCTACTTTGGTGATACATGCCATAGGGTCACAACTTTTCGGGGAACATATTTTCAAATAGTTTTCTTTGCTTCAATCAAACGGAGACACGTGGAAAGCTGAAACTTGGCAGGAACGTGACCGCTGAGGCACTGAGCTCAAATGTCAAACGTCAAATTTCCAAAATTGTTTTGGGGTTCATATTTCTTGGGGACGTCACATTTTCAAATAATTTTTCATTTCCAGTCGATTCAGGCAGAAGTAGAAAAGTAGCTGGCGAACGCATAACGGACGTGATGTTGGACAACTTTTGCAGTGCGTCTCCTCAAAGCAGAGCTTTTGAGCGGGTTTCTTTTACAAATAATTTTTTTTCCGCCAGCAAAAAGGGGAAACGTATAAGGCTGAAACTATATGGCATGGAGTTCCCTGAGTCAACATTTCAAACGAAAAAAAAAGTTCGTTAAAACCCATCAAGGCACTTTTTTCAGTCCCATTTTTCTGAATTTTTTTTTCATCCAATAAAACAGCGACAAAAAAATACAATTTCCCACAGAAGTATCTATTTAATGGCTGAATACAGGAAAAATCCTAGGTTTGAAATATATCTCCTTAGCGTAGATTATTGGAGGGAAGTATTTCAAAATGTATTCTCCACCCTTCGAAAGAGGAACACAAGAAAAAGCTTAAAGTTAAGCACACATAGAATCATAGAAGTATTGATTTTGATAAAAATCAAGACTTTCGAGCCCATATGTCACGTATTTCAATGGGGACGTACTTGAAATACGTGTTTCCCATTTCGTAAAGAATGAATTAATTAATCACTATACAAGGTAAAGGGGCGCCGAAGGCGCGACCATATATACATATATTGTGCATAATACGAGTATATGTAATACATCATCACCATGCATAATATACGTAAGCTATATCTATAAGCAAGGATCTCTGTCTCTGTCCATCTGACGCTATGCAATCCGACACCGTTGGAGATATCGACCTGAAACCTTCGCAGGAGGGTGGGGTCTGTCCAGTAGCAGGTCATAGGGGGGTCGGTGTCAGGGGGAGCGGCTCCGGGGGGGGGGTCTCGGGGTCCCAAAAGGGGTGTTCCAGGCCGGTTAGATTTCTCAAGCATTGCAGTGAATGATTGAGACACTTTAGAATTTATATTTTTTTTTCAGTGCAGTAAGAATATGTGTGAGAAAATGGACTTTAGTTTTTCCTGTGAAATAATAATATCAGAAACTCATTCAAGTTAGATTTTTGAGTTAATAATTAATTTAGAACAACTTTTAAAAAATACGAAAAAAAAACAAATAAAAATAAAATGGCCGGAGCAATGCTCCCGTCCCCGTCGGTCTGGCCGGACTTAGACAAATAAGCACTAACAAAAAAGCACATAAAAGAACAACAGCTATATTACTCCTAAAAAATATCCCGGGCAACGCCGGGCAACCCAGCTTGTCCATTATAAACATGCATAATATATGTAATTTCCAACATTTCTCACCATTCGTGATTTCTCGCCCAATCCACTAGGCGAAACCGGAGATCATCAAGTCGACGATGGCCCGCTCGATGGAGAGCCACGTCCTCGTGGCCGCGCAGCGGAGCCTCGACCGGCGCGAGGACGCCAACGAGGCGGCCGCGCGGATCGCCGGCGCCATGCGGGAGGGCTACGGCGGCTGGTGGCACTGCATCATCGGCGACAGCTGCTACAGCTACAGCATCTACGACGTGGAGGGGTGCTTCATCTCCCTCAAGATGGACGGGAAGTGGATCCTGCTCTTCAAGAGTCGGTCGTGAGGGGTCGTCGACTCGATGAAGACGGTTTGACGGCAACCATGATCTGTTTGCTCTTTTTTGTTGCTCCCTGATGATGTTCAATTTGGAATAAACGAGGAAATGGAGAAATGCAGGGTGGGCGAAAAGTCACTGTGCCGTAAATTTCATTTTCTTTGCATGGTTTTCGTATTGTTATGCGTATCACGTGTATTGCATCATCTAAGACATGGATTTCCACTCAATCTTTCATCAAATATTAGCACCATCCCCGATTCACGTAATTTATTGTCTGTAATTCCTTGCTCCTACATCACGTCGGGAAGTCTACTGCACAGTGACTTTTGGAGCACCCTGTACAATTTCGCCTCAGCGAACATTTTATGGGCAAAGAAGTGCAAGCTGCTTAACATTATCAATATTCATTTTTCAGTGCCTGGCAGAAGCAGGACAGGTTGTAGTGGCAGGACGAATATGTCCGAAAGACTCTTTAAATTTTAGAATTAGTCAGAGAAATAGGACCAACTGATTCCCAGGTTGAAGAAAGGGATATCCTATGAAAATTGGTTTTCGCATTGCCATATTTGACTATAGGAGCGATCTATCGAATTAAAAATCAGCTGGGTGCTGTCGTTTAGATGCAGTTGTCAAATGTAATTCCCTGAGCATTCGCGGGTATTCGCGGCGCAATTCTCCTGGGCGTCCTGCCACAGGCGTCCCATGGTGGCCTGCCTCCACGGGGGAGGTCTTCCTTAGTCCTGCCACAGGAAGTAGAGCCTCGAGGTCCTGTTGAACCGCTGCATGTTTCGCCTTCACACCACGCCGCCTTCAACAGAGGCATGAAGCGTTCTTTCTTCTGGCGAAGGCACCCGCGTGACACAATGGATGGAGCTCATCCATTACAGCAGGTCTCATTGGACGGGAATCGCCTGATTTTCTACTCATCAACATTAAAGCGCTCGTTTGACTAAACCAATCAACAGGAAACAATTTAAAAACTCAGAGAATGAAAAGTTATTCAATTTAAAATGAATAATTTAAAATAATTTAAAAACCCAGATGATGACCCGATTCACGAATCACAATCCTAATTTGACCGCGAACGCCATCTCGCATGGAAAACGAGCCACTAGGAGAAATCCACTAGGAGAAATGAGCCATCTTTGACTGGGCCACCGGAGTTTTTTTTTAGTTTTAAAATATCTGAATGGAGTGGAATCGAGTCGTCTGGGCGCGGGTCCATCATTGTTTATTCTCGTCTCTGTAACCTCGGATCATATTTTTTTTCATTTATTTTTCTCGTGAGTCAATGCTGATTTTACACTCGAGTAATTAATTCATTGAAGAGTGAAACTATTTGATGAAACAATTCGTTTACCATTTTGCCGAACGGAATAGTACTCGATTTCTTTCATCGGATTTCTTTCATTCTTTCATCGAAAAAAGTTTAAAACAAGTCCATGCATATTTTGCCCATATTACAATACCAGTTTTTTTTGTTTTGTTTTTACTGCCGTTCAGTCGAAAAAAAAGCAAGTCGAATATAATAAAAAAATTATCCTGACCAGTCTTCAACACGCACGCGCACGGTTTTCAGCGGGCGTTCGCAAATCGAATGATTTTTTTCCCTCCTCTTAAATAATAATTGAGCAAGCGTTTACGAAGCGAGAGATCGGCCGACTGGGATTTGGTCAAGCACCGAGGACTAATTAAATAATAAAATAATTCGCAAGTCTCCGGGCTTTTGGCGCCTGATGTATTCGTCACTTCCGCTGAAGCAACAAATCGAAGCTTGCGTGCATGTAAGTCAACGACTCGGATTGACGACATGGTTTGAGAAGTGCGACTTCAATTAAAAGAGTCCTCCCAGCCCCAAAAAATTATATATGTACATATGTATATATGTATATATATGTACATATATACGGCGCTCCATTACCTTGGATAGTGATTAATTCGTTCATTTGTTGCTAAATGGGAAACACGGAATTTAAGTACGTCCCCATTGAAATACGTGACATATGGGGTTGAAAGTCTTGATTTTTATCAAAATCATTACCTCTATGATTCTATGTGTGCTTAAATTGAAAGCTTCTCATGTCCCTTTTTGTAAAGGTGGAGAATACATTTTGAAAGGCTTCCCTCCAATAATTCACTGTAATGAGACATATTTCAAAATTAGGATTTTTCCTCTACTCAGCCATCGAACAGGTACTCCTGATGGAATTTTGAATTTTCTGTCTGTTTCATTGGATCAAAAAAAAATCAGGAAAATGGGACTGAAAAAAGTTCCATAATGGGTTTTCACGAAATTTTTTTTCTTTTGAAATTCGACTCAGGGAACTCCATGCCACCCAGTATACATTTCCCCTTTTTGCTGAAGGAAAAAAATGAATTTGAAAAAGCGATCCACCCAAAAGCTAAGCCTGGAGGGGATGCACCATGAAAGCTATTTACTCCCTCAACTCAGTAATATCATGTCATTTATACGTGTGCCAAGTTTCACCTTTCCATTTCTGTCCAATTCGAGACAATTTTTTTTTCAAAACGTCACCCCTCGAAAAAATTCCCCCAGATGATTTATCGAGAATTAACCTTTTTTTATTTAACTCCTAGTCTAAGTAGTCACATTCATGCAAAGTTTCAGCTTTCCATTTCCATCAGTTTAACTGATAGAAAAAATTAGTTGAAAACATCTCCCTTTGAAATTTGTGCTTCCAGGGCATTTACTTCTAAAGTTTGGAGTTTTCTCCAGCATGCCAATAAGTAGTTACGTACCAAGTTTCATCTTTCCACACCAGTTCAATTCGCCAGGACAAAAAAAATATTGAAAACGTCGGCTCACAAAAATTTGCCCCAATTTGCACAAAAATTAAAGTTCTTCATTTTTCTTGAGCTCATCGTCTCGGTAGGCACATCCATGCGAAGTTTCAGCTTTGTCTCTCCGTTTTACTCAAGCAAAAATAATGTTATGGTGCTGGAACAGATAACGGGACGTGGAAGGCAAAAAAAGCCAAAGGAAAGCCAAGGATTGGCCCGGAATCGAACCCAGACCTTCTGATTGGCAGTCAGATATGGTTCTACTACACCACCCAACCCAGCACATCCAATTGGCTCTCTGAATGCCATCCTCATCTGTCACAAAATATATTTCGGGAATACATTTCCCCCCAAAATTTGTACCCCTAGGGCATATACCTCCAAAGTCGGATTTTTTCTGAACTCAGCATTCCAAAAGGTACATGCTTACCAAGTTTCGGATTTCTAACCATTCTAGAACATGGTTAGAATTAGTGCCAGTCAATCAGTCACGATCGTCTATATATATTAGATATATATTTATTAATTTATTACCCCTAATATTTGGGCTGGAATCCCATCTAATAAGGCAGTATTTCTTCAAATTTTTTCACTGCGACCCAAATGCTAACCCGGCATGGTTATTATAAGCTTAGAATCCAGGCTGCCTTTTTTTTATCTTTTAACAGCTTGTATATGGGGAAAGGCATGTTTGGGTAGCGTGAGTGACCGAGACTGTACACGTAAAGTCCCTGGAGACCCTGGGCGACCCACTCAGAACGGCCTGGTCCAAATTGGGTGGCGACACAGGGATGAGTATCAATTCATGAGAATGCTAAGCCACGCAGCAATTTTTCCACGCTGGCTGTCTTTTCCAGCCTAGAGGGACAGATGTTGATGATCACACGGAAAGAGGGCGAGTTGAAAGGCACACCAGCGGTCTAAATTTTGCGATAAGGAAGAAAAACACGAGATAAGCCTCCCCGCTTCGTTTACTTCAGATGATTTCTCTAGGTCCCCCCCACAGCGTTCTTTATGCCTCTTGATCCTGCTATCAGCAGCCCAAGAGGCCCAGCTGCTCGGTTCTCAGCTTGCCATCTTGACTCGTGGCATCGACTTGTGTCATCGCAAACATGGTCTCGGGAAACGCGGTCGTCTTGGCGCTGTCGCTCGGAGTGGGCATGCTCCTCCTCTGGGCCCTGCACGTCGAAGTACTCCTCTGGAATGTCATCGAGGGCAGTCGCTGCCAGGAGGTGGTGATCACGGGGGAGTCCACCCTCGAGGGGTGGAGGTCGGACGATCTCGAGGGGCGAATGTGGGAGGATCGGGAGGAGCTGGACTGGAACTATCCGCTTCTGGGCCAGGAATTCGCGGAGGACGCCTACGACCTGGATGACCTGCCGTTGGATGCCGACTTTAACCGCATCTGGAGTTCCCTCATGGAACAAAATATCCATGTACGATCCCCTTCGAATATTTACATTATCCTCTACCATCTCTTCGCTAGAATGAATGAATCTTCCTCGCAGAGCGGCTTCGCATGGGAGCAATGCGGGAGCGCCAGGGACCCGATCCGACTCCAGACGATGAACGTGTCCCCCAGCATTTTCCCTTCCAAGGGGAACGTGACCCTCGTGGACTTCCGCGCCTCGACCAGCATGTTCCTCTCCTCGCCCATCAAGGTATCATGCCCTAACTTACTCGAGTTTTTCCAGGCTTTCACCGATTCCTGATCAAATGACCGAATCTTGATCTTTCCCACCGGGATCACTCTTGGAGTTGCTTCTTTTTACCTTCGTGCCAGGCCTGTTAAATTGCTTTTCGCAGATTTAGAGGGTGGTCGAAAAAAAGTTTCCTGACTGGCGAAAGTTGGGAGCATTTGTTTAGAGCTCCCTGAGACATTTCTTAAAATTTATTATGGTGAAGTTATCCATGTAACCATACCAGCAAAAATTCACTGAAGGAATACACTCCACACCCAGGCCAGAGTGGCGATGTTCAAGAGGGCGGATAAATGGGTGCAAGTCCCCTGCATCAGCGGCCAGATCGGCTCCTGCACCTACAACGACCTCTGCTCCCTGGTCCCCTTCGCCCCCGGGAAGCCGTGCCCGGCCGTCTTCCAGCGGTATAAAGTTCCCTGCCGTTGCCCCATTCCCAAGGCGAGTCTTGTGTGTCCTTATGTGCAGCATGTCTTATGCATATCACGCCTTATATATGTAATGTCT